GTCCTAGCTGAATGGCGCTCGCCATGTGTCTCCCTTCATCCAAATGGCCCTCACCGTGCTAAAAAATGAGGGAATTCTGATTCAAGCAAATAACGTTCGCCATTAGGAGACGACGATCGCCGTTACTAGCGGGAGCAGTTTACAGAAGGCAGTTTCTGGCAGTTTTCTTTGGTTTGAATTTGAATTCAAACCTCTGTTCTTGGAGCCAAAATTCCTCTATAAATAAGACTTCAGAGGCCTGCATTTCATATCCAAGAATCTTGCGGAACCGCTGCCGATTTCTATACCCGAACTATATATTTACTTTCCACAGTAACAATTGTTTACACTGAGCAATTGTTACACTATTGTATTTTGTTTTTCTACTATTGCTGATGTACTTGGATCGAAGTTTAAGTTAATAAAAGTTTCGATTCCATCTTTATTCCTTGCAATTTACAGGTTATTACTTCTTGCATTTATTTATTGCTTTACTATTTGCATGTGTCTACTATGTAACTAAATTTTACCAAAAAAACTTAATTCTGAATTTTCACTTAGAATTAACTGACACGTATGTTTTAATTTCCAGCAACGTTAACATGTTAGTCTTAGAATTTAGTATGTTAGACTAAATTTATATGAGCCCGTAGTTTGAGGACCGTCGTTTAGATGAGACTCTATAGAAACCATCAATGTTAATTATGCTTGTCTTATAATCTGGCTTTAGTGTCTATTTCTAATTTAGGTTGCTTTGTCGTGGGAGCGAGAAGCCGCTTAACAACGTTTTGTCACGAGAGTGAAAAATGCATTAAGTTGTGTCTAATAGAGCGAGAGTTTGAGGTAATCACCAGATAGTAGACACTGAGCACTGGACTTAAACACAACGAGAGCGTTTTAGGCTTCACCTAGGCTTTGTTAGTTTTCAAAGCACGTCTATTAACTATCGTGCGAGCGAGAGCAAAATCTTGGGGTTATTAGGTGTGGCTTGGTCAATAGCGCGGGAGTGTGAGATTGATTTTTTAAGTCGAAAATTCCTATAGAACTATACTTGAGACCCTTGTTAGCACCCGGAATCTACGGAGTCCTTTAGAAGCGCAGAAATCATTCTTCGGTCTCGTTTCGTTATTTGTTTCAAACCCGTAAATATTAGTTATTTTTCTATGCCTTTTTATTCTGTGACATTAGGCCTTGGCTTTACAACACAATATATATCACTTTAGGTTGATTATTAATCCTTGTGAGTTTGACAATCTTTTAAAACTATGTGATACGTTGCATGCTTGCAGTTCTATCCGACCAACACATAAAGTCGCGATCAGCGTGTTTACCTGTGGAAGAGGTATTTATTCAGATGGCCCCGGTGTATTAGATAAATTTTGAAGCATTTGACCCCAATAGTCGGGTTGGCCGCTGCCAATGGCGCTTCCGTAATTAAGTTTAATGCCCATGTTTTCTTAGTTTTGTCGGAGAGGTTGGATGGGGTGTGAACGATATGGTTGTTCAAATTGGTACATCGAATCGGTTTGAAAATGATGTAATGGTTGTTGTGGGGTTTGATAGTCAAAACGTGGATAAGTATTTTGTTAGCAGGAAGATTGGTTGGCTGGTGTGGGGTCAAAAGAGTTATCTGAGCTATAGGTGGATGGGGTAGGGTCAAAAGATGTATCAGAGCTATATGCAAAAGTGGTGTCGGTTTTAGAAGGCTGGAAGTAGGGGTAAGACTCTTGTTGTTGTGATTGGGTTGGTGGCATGTATGGGTTGTGTTTTTGGAAGATTGATTGGGTGGTCATAGTTGGATGTTGGGTATAACATGGTGTTTGATGTTGGGCATTGGGTTGCTGTTGTGGGTTCGAGGAAGACGCACGTTGCCTTGGGTCAATCAAATATGTCGGCTCCGACACAAATTGTTGTGAGGTTGTAACCGACCTAAACCAAATCATACATTGATAACTTAGTCTAGCCCCTTCCACAATAGGGTTTGTTAAGATGTGTTGATGTTGGTTTTTCTAATGCAGACACATCTCTTTTGCAAAGTCCTTCCAATGATTTACACTCCATTGTGTATCCACCCTTAGCTGATGCCGGTGTCCCAATGACATTGGAGCATTTGGTATATCGTGATGCATCCCAAACTGTAGTTTTACCCAGTCACTTTGTGCATCTCCACTGTAGTGAACCAAATGATAGGTGTTTTAGATGTCCACACGGAAGCATCATTGACGTTGGGTTGGTGGTCGAGACCTTCGTACGACATCCAAACAAACTACATTAACAATATATGTAATGAGAAATACAAGTATGTATTTATCAATTAGACAAAGTAATGGTAGATAAATTACATCACCTGGACCAATGTGTTCTATAAGGTTGCGGTACACGATTATGGAGTTCCTGAGACATCTTTGGTAATTCATTCCTGGAACATACCACCTTAAAAAAAAGGAAACACAAACAAATTAGTTACTAAGAAACATTGCACAAATAATTAAGTTACAAAGAAATGTCGTTTGTATACTCGTATTGAAAATAAGCTTACTTGTTAGCGTATGAGAATGGATTGCAGTTGATTGGAGCAAGTGTTGGCATCCTAGACCAACCCCGCACTTGAAAGAGATAGGCACAACCATAAAAAGTACAAGATTTTTTTTTGTTGCATTTTTACATAATGAACTATATAGATGGGCAAGGACAGCTGAACCCCAACTATATGTGCACACTTTATTAATATTGTGAAACAACGGTAAATACATAATATTTACAGTATTTTCAGTACTGTCTAGAAATAAAAAATGACCAAATAATATCATAATATAGCATATAGTTTTAAGTATCTTCTCCTACTCAGTGGATTCTTCATTTAACACGATACTATTGTAGTGTTCTCTGAGGTATTTCAAATTAATATCTTACCCCATCGGTCGACCCTCACGTTGTGGCTGAGGTGTGTCGACGCATAGAGAGGCGCCTAGTAAATCTTCGCAAAGTTGGTCATTAACACCAACTTTGTCGTTGACGGCCTTACCATTGATGTGTAGGCCAAGTAACATGTATACATCTTGTAAAGTTACGGTACATTCACCGAAAGGTAGGTGACATGTGCAACCACACCCAACCTCCTCGACAAAACTACGAAAGCATGGGCATTGAACTTAGTTACGGAAGTGCCGTTGGCAGCGGCCATCCCGACTTTTGGGGTCAAATGCTTCAAAATTTATCTGATACGTCGGGACCATCTCAACAAATACCTCTTCCACAGGTAAACACGCAAAGACCAGATACACCTCAACAACCTCGTGGTAGACCACGACGCCGCGCGAATCCTCTCCAATGTGGTACTGGTGGTCGTTTTGATAGAGCCGACCATTGATTTTCTTTTTTTCATCTGTTGTACAATATTGAAGCTTTTTTATATTATAAATATCATAATTTATTATTTCTTTTATTTATATTTTATTTATAAAATATTAAAAATAACAAAATTTATTATTTTTTTAATTATACGTGACAAAATCTAAATATTAAATATTAAATATTAATAAAAGATGATAAAATATAACAAAAATTAAATATTAAAAAAATAATAAAAAAATAATCTTACAACCGATTCGCCATCCCATATGGCAACTCAGTGTAGGGTAGGGCAACCCAAAAACAACCCATGCGCCATATGAAATGACGAATCAGGTCTGGAAGATTTTGATTAGCCATTTCATATGACAACTCCTTCTACAAACTTAGCCAATTTGATAATTTTTTTGAAATATTAATTTATTTGATAATTATTTTAAAATGTTATATTAAAAAAATTTCTACACACATATATATGTTTTGTATAGAATTCTTTTTCATGTTTTCATATATAAAGAAATATTTATTTTATAAAAATTAAAAACTAAAATAAAGATTTTTATATTAAGAAAAAATATTTTTTTCTTAAAAATCAAAATTTTTATATTAAAATATATCAATTTTATTTTTAAAAAAAAATTGATTTTTAAAATTTTAAAAAACTAATTTTTTTATTTTTGGAAAAAAAACCTGTTTTTTTAATTTAAAAAATGATTAAAAATCAACTTTTTGTATTATTGGAAAAAATAATATTTTTAATTTTAAAAAAAGTATTTTTGTACTTTTCATTTAGTCTTTGTGTCTTTTCTGAGGGCAGGATCCTCACGATCGCCTTGTACTTATACTATTTTTTTGAATTAATTCAATCTTCTTTTGATTAAAAAAAAGGTATACTTTTGTAATTTTGTTTCGTTTTATGAAAAAAGAAAACTGTTTTTGGTATTCTCGGAAAAAATCAGTTTTTTTGAAATTTTAAAGAAAAAAAATCTATTTTTTAATTTTCATGTGAACTTTTTCTTTTTTATTTTTGACTAAAAAAATCAATTCTTTTGATTAATAATATTTTTTTTATATTTTCAGTATAAAATTGAATTTTATGTATTTTTGTCAAAAATGATTTTTTTATTTATTAAATGGTCTGACTTATTTCTAGAAAATCAATTTTTTTATTTATTTATTTTTTTTAAAAAATGAATCTAATGAATTTAAAGGATATGATAAAATGATTAATTCATCATTATAATATCTTTGATGGATTGGATCAATTGATGCAAATGAATTGATGGATTTCGTTCATTCTGTTAATTTACTTTTTTATGTGGGAATGAATTTGATGGATTTTTTGTTGAATGAATTAAATGGATTTTGTTTTAATGGAATCAATTGCAACTATTAATATCTAACTCATACAAATAAAAAAATTTAAAAAAAAATTAGAAAACTAAAATAAATAAAACAAGTTTATATTATTAAAATTGTAAAAAAAAAAATGAAATTCAACTTCCTTAAATGTGCACACAAGACAAATGAGACTTCACCATTGAAGATACAATAGATTGATTATAAATTTGATATATAAATAAGAAAAAATAAACTATATGATTTAAAATATCCAATAGAATATTGTCAACAACAAATAACATAATTAAAATGCCTTCTTTCTTGAATATTCACTTTGGAACCAACAGTCGCTGAAAGTGTTTTTGACCCTGCATCCAAAAAATAAAAAAGATAACTATTTTAAAATAGTGAATACAAAAAATTTATGCGATATGTGTGATTTGTAATTTTATAAAATGTATATGTTATTGCATTAAACTATTAACTTTTAAAATCAAATATTAAAACTCAAAATCAAATCTATTGTTAAACATAAAATCCAATGATATGAGTTTTTGTAGAAATCAAACATGGATTTATTGAATAGGGATATGAGTTATAGTCCATTGATGAGAATAAATTATAATATATAATTAAATTTTCTCCCTTTATATTTTATATTCTAACATAATTGACAAGTTAGTAAAAGAATATAGGAATTGATTAAATTAAAAAATATATATTTTAAAAAGTTCAATTACCTCCTTCTCTAAGCAGCATGCAAAAGGGATGAAGCATTCAAACAACTGCTTTCCACATGTGCTCTCGTATTCAAACATAATTTGATCGTCTCGAATTACTCCAATTTCCTCGATGTTGTTATCATCTAAATTATACAAGTAAAAGTATACAAGTCTTTTAATCTTGAAAATCGCCATATCATTGGAAGGATAAATGGACAATAGCTTGCCGTTGGTATTGAGAGGCAACAAATTTTCATTTTCTTTGCTAAGATTCATGTTCCATGTGTAAGTGCTAACACCTTTTGTAACACATTCAACAAGTTCAAAACACATAAATTTTGCACTTCTAGATAAGAACAGTAAGATCTTATCATCTTTTAAACATATTTGTAGTTGCGAATTATCAAAAAGGCAATCTGGATGAAGTTTTATCACCTCAACTTGTTTTGAGGCATTCTCTTGAGGATCAACTTTAATTCTCAATAAATGTCCTGAAGACGAGAGTCGATAAATAGATCCTTTTAAGTAAATAGACTTTTTGATCCAATAAGACTCATTAATATATTCAGGAAAGTAAATAGTTAATGTAGTCCAAATACCAGTCATAGAGGAGAAAATATTGATATGGCGATGACCTTGAAAACGTATGATCTTGAAGAACCAAGATTCTATATGGTCATATGCTAGAGCAGCATAGGAATATCCTCCAGATATTTGTCCTACAGGCTTCGGAATAGCCACACATTGTTTTGTTATTGGATTCATGACAAAGTAATGATATACACCATGAATTATATTATTTGCCTGACCATCTTTGCGACAAAACAAAAATAATCCATTGCATGTGTCTATAAGATTTTTAGGCCTTATCCTGCAACTCATCACTAATGAGCACCAATTAAAAAGTTGTTCCAAATCAATATATGGATTAGAAGAAATGGAAGCCTCCATCAGTGGATCTAATAGATTCTCCTTTGGTAGTGTTGTGGTTAGGATGAGATTGCGCCATGAATGCGAGACACACATGACATTTGATTTTTCTTTCATGTATAGCTTACCAAAGATTTTAGTTTGAAGTACAATGGGAAGATTATTGAATAAGGATTTGGGTTTCCTTCTCCTCATTGTTCTTTTCTTTTTAATAATTTTAATCTCCATGTACGATTATGATTCGTTAGGAGAATTGATATTGAAAGTGAGATAGTGATATGATAGATAGGTGTGAGTGATGCCTATATTGGTTGATGATTTGATTCTTATAGGAGGATGACATATGAAGAATGAAAGATATGGGAGAAAACAATTTTAGATTAAAAAATGGTGAATATAATATTTTATTATAATGTTCTAGAATCAAGATAAGCTCTATATGGATATATCTATTTAGTACAATGTATTATTAATTAATATAATTGAAAAAAAAATAATTAAATCAATTTAATGTGTAACTCCTTTACATTTTGTTTGACCGGTGAAAAGAATACAAAAGAAAAAATGAAATAAAAAATAAAATGAATTATATATATATATATATATATATATATATATATATATATATATATATATATATATATATATATATATATATATATATATATATATATATATATATATATATATATATATATATATATATATATATATATATATATATATATAAATTAACTTTTTTAATAAAAAAAATTAAAATAAGAATTTCGTTTTAATCAATAATAAAACACAAAATAAATATCAAAATTAAAAATAAAGAGAACAAAATACTAAAAATAAATAAATATTTTTATAATAATTAACTAAAATGTTTCAATTAAATAATTTAAAAATATTATTTAACAAATAAAAAATATATTTTATTCTCATCATAATAATTTTTTGGAAAATTTGACACACTAGAAATGATATCAGGTTCAAAATGGTAATTTTAACTTTGATAAAGACATTCTTCATGTAACACTCCACACATAATTGACTAGTATATTATGCATGAAACGTTAAAATTGGTTATGAGTGCATACAAAAGCTTTAAAGAAAATACAATCAGTCGTATACAATAAGAAAATTGAACTAAAATGTATACAATAAGAGTCTTCAAGGAAACAACATTGCGGAAAACAAGATCTGGCACGATCTCCAAGCCAATTGCTCTCCAGAATGTCCGAGACAAGCCTTCCATTGAAGCCTTTGACGAACCTCTAGCCCAGCTAGTGTTTCGAATGTCGTTGACTATCGACAATCCTCCACCCACCATGGTAAGGTATTAGAGAAGTTTCTGCCCCACTCTAATATGACTAAGTCCTATAAGGTGGTTTCCGGAAATTATTTGCCGCCTTCTCTCAGGACTAGTCTAGCAAGGCAGTATCCAGAGTTCTCCTACCTTCCATCTAATGGGACTTGCTCTCCTATATTTCAAACTACACGTTAACATTGGTCGGGCAATCCCAACTTTCACCCCCTTGATTCCTTTACCTCAGAATTAGGGTGTAGCGTATAATACCAAGGTTTCTTCTTTTTTAATTATAAATAATTCCCTATTTCGGATAACACTGATCCTAGGATCCCACTCACCAGGTAACTTCTATTAGGCAAACACTTATGCACTTTAAGGTTCACCTCACTAAGTATTGTCTTTATCAATAAAATACATGAACATACACATGATATTATCATTATTACTTAGGTACAATATAGTTATGGAAGCTTAGGCATCTCATAGCCTTTGACGTTAGCTTCCCAATGCCTTCGACCGCGTCACAATCCGACTTGTGAAGCTCAAGTTATGGTCGAACCAACAAAGGTCACTTTCTGCCAGATGGAAATCAATTTACACCCTGGGTAAATCGAGTTACTACTGAAGCAGAGTTAAAAAATGACATATTTCCTGCAAAATTAGTTCCAAAAGTGTTCTAAAACATCCTTAGATTCCCCAACCAAAGCCTAAGCATTATTGAAAATAAGCCTATATTAACACCAATACATGTATTCTCCTTCCAATTTCATTATAAGCATACATACATCTATACATTCAAGTATTCATTCAACATATCTCAAGTTCTCATTTTTATTCAAGCAACTATGACACTTCAACAAGGATAGAATCTCATGATGTAACATCAATACAAGCATTACCATTTAGACATGGAATCACACTCCCAAAAGGAATGGCAATCACTAATGCTTTCTATGCAATCAAGAGGTAAAAATATGAATTCATGTGCAATCTTCAAATATTTGATTCCATGCATATATTAATATCACAAACCATCCAAATCCAAACCCAAACATATAAGAACGATTTCAAACATATATTACCTTCATAGGAACACATTTTTATCTATTGATCAAGCATGCAATGATTAAATCATATTCTAAACCCTTGACATGTATCATTCCCAATTCCTACCCTAAGTTCCTAACTAATGGAACTCACCTTGCATCAATGGAGGTTAGGATGATAGTCATACTGCAATTGAACTCCCATCTTGGCCACCTCCAACACCATCAAACCCGTAGTCCCATCTTACCCATTTCCAACAAGAATTTCTCAACTTCAAACACGTTTATCTCCTTCAATAGAGACCTTCCTGACACAAATTATATACTAAAATGAAAGGAATTTCGTATAGATTTCAGAAATTCAAGAGTCGCTTAAATCCGAGTTACAAGTAAAATGTTATCACATGTTTAATGGAGATTGGTCAAGAAATCTCGTATACATGCCTTCACCAAATTCAGCATAAGACCTTCATCTTTAAACGCATATATATATCTCTTATCATAAACATTCAGAAGACATAGTTTATATGTAAAATGTAGGGAACTTTGTAAGCTTTTCAAAAAGTCTAGAATCTCTTCAATCAGAGTTACGAGTAAAAAGTTATTACCTATTTTATGAAGGATGTACCAAGAGTGTGAAAATGGAGATGGAGATGAGGAACATGGGTTTCTCCTCTTTCTCCCTACTACTCTATCCTCCGAAAATCTAATTTTTTTTTATGAGACTATAATGTTTCTCTACCAAACAAGTCTTTAAGGATTCATTTAATATGGTTAATGTCCAAAGTGCCCTCCAACTAAACCATATTTACCGGTTTGTCATTTAGTCTAACTCTAACTAATTCCTTAAGGTCTTTACTAACCTTTTCTTAATTCCAATCAATTCATAATTCCTCTTAACAACTCTTAATTGTCAATAGGTCTCATTAGCTTTACTCTCATGCTTAGAAAAATAAGGATGTTACATGCTCCCCCCCTTAAATAGAATTCGCCCTCGAATTGCTTCTGATCACCATGTGGGAGAAATCCTCATATCTTCTTCCAACAAGAGGGCGAAATATTCCCCACATTCTTACTTAGAATAACCACGCGATTCTGTTTGAAAGTTGTTCCATCCAAGGAAACACAACCCACCAATACACTTGTGTTCTAACATTCTTGACTGGAAGCCTTAGTCCTCATACTACACATCTCTTCTGACACTCCGTCTCGACATACCTGGGAAATGATCCTTCTAAGGTCCCCGACCTTTACTCCTTCACACGGAGTCTTTGTAGCTTCAAAATTCCTGGAAATCCATTCTGGTTGGATATTTCTCATCCTCAATGTTTGCCAAGCTCATCCTTGCTCGACATATGCCACTGATTTTCCATTTCTTTTCCCTTGGTTTCTTGAAGTACCACCATTCCAAGAGATTCCTGTTGTGACTTTCTTCTCCATTGACGACTCTTCAGATTTACTTCCACACAAGTCTATACAGAGTCATACACGTGTTTACTAAGTCCTTTGGTCTTAATTTCCAATTCTCGGATGCTTAGGATGATTGTTTCCAAGTCTACCTTCTTCGTACAATAAAAATTCTTACTTCGATCCTTCCTTCAGTCTTAGACAAAATAAATGCCATTGTAAGCCACAAGGTTGTGCAATTTAGTAGCTACAGTCTTGATATCCAACAACTTCACACAAAGCTCCGCCGGTGAAAGGTGAACTCTAACAGCTAACCTGCAACCATCGTCCAAGTATTCTTGCACGCTCATAAGTGCACAAGACATAACCACAGTGAGTCTACGCCAAATAAAATCCTTTACTCATCTTCTTTATTCCAATGATCACGATAATCTATCTAACCCTTGATGCTCAAAAGCTCAACCGTCGACCCATGAAGATCTGATCACATATCAACCATGAAGTCTCCTCTAAGCTGGTCTATCAACCGTACCTCTCTAGATTATTGTGGATCTTTGAGAGACTGAGACGAATAAAACATTGCTTCGACGAGTTTCCCTTAGGAAGATATCTCCACTCAAACACTATCGTACAAGTAGTCCGCCCACATCAACTACAGGCTTATTTGGTTCTTCTTTTATCCGTTGTGCTACTCTAATCTCAAAACCAGTCACAGACTTCTTGAAATCCTCTAAATCACACTACGTCTATAATCCACTTAGTTTCATTACTTTACTATACTTATTCCCTTAATAGAAACAGTTCCTTCTTTAGCACCAACTAGGTTTGACCTGTTATGAATTCAATTCACACCGAACACCATACTTACAATCATCCATGCAATACATGCATAAGAGAATTGAAAGATTATCCCACCACTATGTATGCCATGACTCAAAATTAACTCTATTACTCACAATCACTTGACATGGTTCACATAAGCGTTGACACACACACACATGCATACTTGTACCAATGTACGAGAGAACATCAGAGTAGTATACGCCTCCCTCTAGGCTATGCAAGCACACCATAACAATAGTCTTGGTGAGTATCCCAAGTGAGTATACGCCTAGACAGGCCCCACAAGCACACCATATTGATATCTCAGGTGTATTAATGACAAGTGAATTACCACCTAGCAGTCAGTCTTCTCTTGACATCACCTTCCAATGTAGCCCTTATTCTGACTTCCTTTTTCTCACCTCCGGTACCCAAATTGATGACTTCAATATCCTCCTGATGAGGTAAAATAACCCTTTCCTCTTGCTTCAAAAGCCTGGATAGCTCCTCAGGCAGGTCACAATCTTCATCAGCCTCTTCGTTAGCTTGATAAATGAGATTATCGAAATCATACGAGCCATAGCCGAATCAGGATCGATGGTATCTGAGATATGCAACCTGCATGATTGATATTTTATGTTAATTATGATATGCAA